TCCATGTTAAAATATGTTTTAAAAAATTTGCAAAACTAAACAGCCTACAGTATTTTTACAGTCTTTACAGTTAAAATATATGTTTATCAAATAAAGTCTAATGTTACAACTAACCAGGGATCCCTTTAACAGAAGGTTCTTGTTCCCCTTAAAGAGCTGACCTCACATCCCTAACATGTTCTCAGAGAAGCTGGACTGATGATAAATGATGGCCTACATGTTTAGTTATGAGAACAATGTACATTTTGACTAAACTGACATTTCAAAAGGTTATGTTACAGAGCACTAAGACATATTTAGAAGCTGTGTGTGATGTTAGGGCAAACAACTATGTTTTAAGGTTTGATTATTAATTAATGAAAGGCAGATGCTGTACTATACTTCCTTTTTTTGTTTAGATTCATTAATTAATGTGCATTAACGTGCAAATTTCCCCACTGTGGGATCAAAGTTTTATCTTATCTTATCTGATCTTATCTTATCCCTTAAACGTAAAAACTTTTTCAGATCATTTACACAATGAATATTATGAAGTTACGTGGAATTTTTTAGATAAACTTCATCTGTACCCCCACCACCGCACCAGCCCTTTCACCAGCTGACCTGCCATCACATCTTAATAAAGCTCAGCTCCACCAGGCTGCAGACGCCATTAAGATTCTATAGTGGAGCTCGGACTGGGCTGCAGCACAGGTGCAAACACCGGGGCAGGGTTTCTATAGGAGGAGTGAGTGAAGGGAAGTCCGACGCAGAGGAGATGCAGTGGAGTGCCGGGGGCAGATGACAGCTGAGGGACTGGGCTTTCTGTGTCTTGTACCCTGATGGAGATAGGGGTCAGCAAAAGTAAGTGGGTGGGGTGTTTGCAGGCCGTGGGGCGGGAGGGTGAAGGATTTTATGCTCCTTCGTCACTAGCCCCTGTCTTGGCGGTGGGGGGGTCAGGGCTGCACCCCTGGGGACTGGGAGACAGATATAGACAAGAATTAAGGAAGCAGAATTTGCGCTCGTGGCCTTGTCTATGTTACTGGCATCAGCAGCTGAGAGCTGCTCGAGAGCTCCGTCTCATTGTGCGTTTACATCACATCCGGGGGGGGTGGGGGTGGGGGGCACCAAACTGAGCTGCTGGTGCTGCTTTATCAAACATAAAGACCAAACTATTAAATGTGAAGGACGTCCCTTCTAGTCACTCAATATTAATCCTTTATTACTGATAGTTTGGCATAAGAAATAAACTTTCCTCATTCCATGTTTTCTTAAACGTGGAGAGAGTCTCTTTGGATCCCTGTGTGCTGTTTCACACATGTTTGAAACAAGGAACTGTTGCAAAGTTAAAATTTTATTTTAAAAACGCCGTGTTTTCATTCAGGCTAAACCAATTTATGTTTTGTATTTTCCCATTTCTTTCAGACTGATGTGTATGTGTTATGTTTTCCAGACCAAAAATATATTTGAATTAACTGAGCTAAACAAAATTATTGAAAAAATAGATAAAATGTAATTTAAAAATTGTTTAATGATAAATCAAAATTGCAATTAATGTGTCAAAAAACAATCTCAACTTATTCATGTGATGAATAATTTAGCTTATGAATAAGTTAGTTTTTCTTAGCTCATTATTATTTATAAGGTGATATTTGGCCTGATTTATTAGTTCTCACTWTAATGCAAGATGCACTTGCAGCCTATGTGCATCATGGCTTTGTAGCAGTGTTGTATAAAGTACACCAAAGTGATACTTGAGTAAAAGTACAAGTATCTTATCATAAAAATACTTTGGTAAAAGTTAAAGTCTTCTCTAAAAATATTACTTGAGTAAAAGTACAAGTATCTTATCATAAAAATACTTTGGTAAAAGTTAAAGTCTTCTCTAAAAATATTACTTGAGTAAAAGTCTTAAAGTATCTGATGTTTTTTGTACTTAAGTATCAAAAGTAAATTTCTAACACAAAATCTACTTAAGTATTAAAAGTAAAAGTACTGAGTAAAAGTGAGAAGTTAGATTTTCTAAAATGACATTTATTGGGAGGTGACTTCTCAAAAAAATATTTTTCTAACAGGGTCCAGCAGTGATGGGTTGTACAAGCTAAAATGTTGTCAGAATGGTATTTARTGTATTTACACTTCTCATCCAACCACAATTAAATTCACTCTATCCAGGAGACACAATTTATCAGGATAGTATTTTTTAAGCAATAACTTGGAATAAAATAGGAGTAACAACTTTCTACTTCTTATCTTTTTGAAAAATTAAGTGAGTAGAAAGTACAGATAATTGTGTAAAAATGCAATAAGTAAAAGTAAAAAGTATGCTGAAAAATAATTACTCAAGTAAAGTACAGATACCCAAAAATTCTACTTAAGCACAGTAACAAAGTATTTGTACTTAGTTACATTACAACCCTGCTTTATAGCTATGCACAGTGTTTTGTTTATTTAGTATAAAGTAAATAATAAAATTAAAATCTTAATAAACCACCTTAGACCATTTTTTCCTGTGCATAGTGAAAGGCATCCTTGTGAGTAAAAGTGGAATGTGGTCCAGAGGAAATTCTGTGACCTTTAACACTATGTCCACTGTTTTCCTTTCTGATTAATTGAATGAATCGACTCTCTCTGGCCTGCAACCTTATATACTATGTTTAGAGAGAAGCCCATCACACTCTCCCACACACCCTCCCATGAGCCATCCAATCCTTACAGGGGAACGGTGTCGACGGGGGTCAAGAGGAAAAATAGCCTGATATATATACGCCCAAACGGTGATTTCTTCCTCTGAGTCCCCTCCATTCTGTGTTACACTCTTTGTGTGTCACCCAAACCGGGAATTGTCTGTGCTTCTGGGACAAAGTAGTTTAACTACCAGTTGAAATGGCACCAAAGAAGGACCCCAAAGCTCCCGCCAAGAAGGCTGAACCGGCACCAGCACCGGCACCYGCACCGGCACCAGAACCTGCAGCAGCTCCTAAAGCCCCAGCTGTCGACCTGTCCTCCGTCAAGGTAGGACGATACTAAAGGGTTAAACTGATGGGAGTGAGGAGGAAGTGATATGATGCAGGCTGCTCACAAAGAGCTTGGACTTTATTTTGCTTAAATGTGCACAGCAAAGCAMTCTGACTGCAGCTGTTCTTCAAAGAGAAGATTTTTAGGGCACATTGCTCAAATTCAAAACTTGTCTTTTTTATTCTTTTAAAGAACTGATAATAGACGAGGCTTCCTTTTTGAAAGCAAGAGTTGTTGTTTTTTTTAACTCAAAAGAATAGTTTGATTTATTTAAACATTTTTTATTAGCTACACAGCGAATAGTGACAGCAGCTTCAGACTCAAAGTCTGCACAGGAGACTGAGCAGAACCATGGATAGCTCATCATGGTCTAAACCAGTGGTTCCCAACCTTTTTATCTTCTGACCCATAAAATATTCATGGCAAAAACTTGTGACCCCAAATATTACTAGTCTGAGTAAACAAACTTTGTTAATAACCCTAA